ATTAGAGAATAACTACCAAAAATAACTCCTATCTTCACGCAATTACAACCCAAATATATACACACAACATTCTGTAATTTGCAATACTCCCCTCAAGTTAGTGCGTGGAGATCTCGAACGCCCAACTTGCAAAGAAGAAACTCGAACTGTTGTTTTCCAAGCGCCTTGGTGAAAATGTCGGCTAATTGCTCTGAACTGTGCACATATGCAGTTTCTACATTTCCATTTTGAATTTTGCTGCGCACAAAATGACTGTCAACTTCCATATGCTTTGGTTGTTCATGAAATACTGGATTTGCTGCAATATGCATGGCAGCTTAGCTGTCACAATAAAGTTTCATAGGTCCAGAATGCATTACCCCTAGAGAAGCCAGCAACCCTTTCAACCATTTTAGTTTACAAATCGTGGTAGCCATAGATCGATATTCCGTTTCAGCAAATGATCTAGACACGGTATGTTGCTTCTTAGTTTTTCAGGAAATAGGTGAGTTTCCCAACAAAACAAAATATCCAGTGGGTGAACGACGAGTTAATGGATAACTTGCCTAATCAGAATTACAGTATGCGCGCAACTGCAGGTTGCAATTCGATTGGAGAAATATACTTTGCCCAGGTCTACCTTTCAAGTAACGAACCATGCGCAAAGCCACTTTCCAATGTTCTTCTTTTGGCTTTTCCATAAACTGCGCAAGAACATGCACATCATAGGATAACTTAGGTCGCGTAAGTGTCAAATAGATCAATCGTCCGACCAAACGTCTATATTTTTCTGGGCCTGTCAATAGCATACTCTCTGCCATTACCAAGCGATGATTCTACTCCATCGAAAAATCAATTGGTTTGGAACCCAATAACCCAGCTTAAGTAATAAGATCCAACGCATACTTACGTTGACAAAGAAAAATGTCATTCTTATTTCTGGCAACTTCCATATCCAAGAAATATTTCAATACTCCCAAATCTTTCATATGAAAGCACTGACATAAATATTTCTTGAATTTCTGAATTGCAACACCATTATTTCCCCCAATTGCAAAATCATTAACATACACCAGGATACATATTTGTATGTTGTTTTGATTCAGAGTAAACAATGAATAATCAGAATAAAATTGAGTAAAGCCATACCGCTGCAAGGTATTAGTGAGTTTAGCGAACCAACACCTTGGAGCTTGTCGCAACCCGTAAAGAGACTTTCGCAATCGACATACGTTTCCTGGCTGGGGAGTTGTAAAACTAGGAGGCATCTTCATATAACTTCCTCTACTAAGTCTCCATGTAAAAATGCATTGTGAACGTCCATTTGGTGGAGTTCCCAGTCCTTCACTGCTATCACAGACAAGAAAGTTTGAACTGTTACTATTTTTGCGACAGGAGCGAACGTCTCATTGTAGTCAATCCACTCGACCTGATTGTCGCCAAGAATCACCAAACGTGCCTTATACCGCTCGATTGTTCCATCAGAATTATACTTGATTTTATATACCCATTTGCTACCGATCGCTTTCTTCCTCGATGGTAGATTTTCCACCGTCCATGTCCCATTTTTTTCAAGCGCCTTAATTTCACTTGCCATAACTTATCTCCATCGAGAGTCCTTCACTGTTTCACCATAGAAAGTTGGCCCTCTACCAGTTGTTACCGCTGCTAAGAAAGATCAGTGACACATAGATTAATCACAATTCACATAATGCACTACAGGATAATGAGTACTTGGGGATGGAATTGATTTGGGTGAGCATGCAAAAGGGCTTACGCATCTAACTGTATATGTCACATAATTTATCAAACAACTAGATGAGCGCTTTATTCGATGATGTCGCCCAAGTTGTTCATCAACCGTCCCAATCTCTTCACTTGTGGTGCTCCCTTTTTTCGTTATTCTCTTCACTGTGACCCGATTTGTGATTTCTGATACTTCACTTGGAATATCAACTATTAGAATGTCTTCCCTTTCATCAACTACTTCCTTTTTAGTGCGATCAAAGGCTTCAAAAAAATTTAGCCTCGGAACACCTCGCGGTGCATCTGGTGCACCATCATATGGAAACTCATTCTCTGAAAAAACCACATCACGCGAAACAAAGTATTCACCAGTATCAAGATCATACAATCTCCATCCCTTCTTACCAAAAGGATATCCCACAAACAAACAACGCTGACTCTTGTTCACAAATTTATCCTTGTCTCGATTCAAGTCTCGAGCATGGCACAGACACCCAAAAATTCGAATATACTTGTAACTGGGTGGTTTGCCGAACAAACATTCGTAAGACATTTTATTCCCCAAGAGTTTGGATGGAGTCCGATTTATTAAATATCCTGCGGTTAGCATACATTCTTCCCAAAATTTAATGGGAAGATTTGCTTGGATCACAGTGCTCTAGCTACATTCAGAATATGATGGTGTTTCCTCTCAACACGTCCATTTTGTGAGGTGTTCCCACACATGAAGTCTGATAGATCATCCCATTTTTAGCAAAATAATTATTCAAACAGGTGAATTCCTTGTTATTATCACTTCTAACAATTTCACATCCCTGTTGTATTGACGTTTGATCATAACAAAGAAATTTTGTAGTATGTGTTCCACTTCAGATTTAACCATTAACAAATAAATCTACATAGCTCTTGAAAAATCATCAACAATGGTTAAAAAATATGATGCACTACACGAAGCAGGAGTTCGATAAGGTCCCCATAGATCACAATGAATCATCTCAAAAATCTTATTTGCTTGATTTTCACTAGAATAGAATGCTGCTCTAGTCTGCTTGGCCCTTAAACAAATATTACAAGATTTTTCTTTAACTAAACTATTACCACCAGAATTAACATTAAAAAATAACTCTACTAGTTTCGTAGACGGATGTCCCATTCTTCTATGCCACAGGTCAATGGTATTTAGACGATTTGTATTACACGCCTTAATGTCTGCCATAGACTTGAAGTAATAAAGCCCTTTGCATCGTTCACCCTCTCCAATCACCATCTTCGAAGCAGGGTCTTGTATAACACATAATTTTTTAATGAACAGGATAAGACAATTCAATTCATCAAGCAACTGCGACACTGAAATTGAATTGCAATTCAAGTTTGGGACGTAAAGCACATTTTTTGGCTTTATATGTTCATCCAAACGAACCGACCATCTTTTTAAGGCTATTATCTGGTTGCCATCTGGCAACTTCACTACACATCCTAATAATTCTTTCAAATCAGTCATACATGCTAAATTTTCCGTCATATGGTGAGAGGTGCCTGAATCAATTATCCAGTTCAAACAATTCTTACAAGACAATTTCTCACTGGTACCCGATTTGCAAGGATTCAACAAACTTAGAAAGGCTGCCCACTGTTCGCTGCTTATCAATCTATGCACCGCATGTTCCCCTTCTATAACTTTTGCCGACAAGGAGGATTGACTAACCGTCTGAGTAGAGTTAGCTCTAGGTGCACTTCCATGTCCCCGTCCTGAATTCTGGTTCCCGCGTCCACGTCCTGACCCGCATCCAATCCCTTGGGCCCCACCAATTAGGATATCCGATAAGTTGAAAACAGTTTTTAGCATCATGTCCACCACGATTGCAGTATGAGTATAATGCAGGCTTATCCTTTGTCCTAGTTCCAAGTCTCCTGCCTCCTGTGTTGGCATGAACGGTAAAGCTGATGGGCTCCCCACATCCTTCCTTTTCTTTTGACATGTTTCGGACACGTTCCTCGTGACATATCAACAAGTATGCCTTGCTGATGCTAGGTAGCGGTTCAGTGCTTAGAATGTTGGAACAGATCGTTTCATACATCGTGTCGTCCAAACCCATCAAGAATTGATGGAGTTTTTCTTCCTCGCGCTTCTTGTCAAATTAGACTGAGAGATTGCACATGCATTTTCCACATTAACATGTTGGAATCTGATCATAGTTTGCAAGTTTCCATAAGTGCTTCAACCTTCCATAATAGGTCACAATTGGAAGTCGTCGCTATTTCCACTCCGCAAGTTCCCCTTTGATCTGTTGAACTCGAGGCCCGTTAGCAATAGAAAACCTCTCTTGGATATCTTCCCACAAATCCTTTGCGATCTCTATATAAGTTATGGTAGATCGTATAGTTGGTTCTATTTTATTGAGAATCCATGATCCACCATTGAATTCACAGTCCACCAATCCTCCAGATCGGGAGAATCATCATTAGGTTGTTTCACCGTTCCATCAATAAAGCCACACTTCTTCTTGGCTCTCAACGCGGTTCGCATCGCTCAAACCCATTCATCGTAGTTGTCCCCTTTCAATTGTACTTGGGTGATAATATTTCCAAGATTGTCGTTCGAGTCAAGATGTATAGTGAGACAAGTTTTCTTCCTTCAACATTCTTCTTCTTCATATCGTCATCCATGGCTCTGATACCATGAAAGGGAATCTTTTGAGAAATGTTTTCTGTCTATTCATGACCCTTAGGTCCAAATATATACAATCAAAAGGAAACCGAAAAAGGAAATTGATCCCTAATCTACTGCAACTACTAAAAAGTAATCAATCCCTACTCTTTCTCAACTACCAAAAACAATTACTAGAGAATAACTATAAAAAATAACTCCTATCTTCACACAATTACAGCCCAAATATATACACAAAATATACACACAACATTCTGCAATCTGCAATAATAAGTGGTCATTGTAGTCTGTGGACTTGAAAACTAGTGTAGGATTTGACTTTATATTCTTTTATCTTTATTGTTGAAAAATCTAGTCTAAAATTGTTGTGCTAGAGGATGATTGAAATAGTTTCATCTAGTTGAGGGCCACATTAAAGCTTTGTCCTTTTTTTTGTCAAAATAATGTTTTTTTTTTGTTAAAGTTCTATTCCTGTGTGAAATTCAATGCTTCACGGATTAAAAAGTCGTGTTATATGTTTAGGTATTTTGTGTGCTTTCGGTGTGGACAGAGTTAAAGAGAGAGAGAGAATAAGGGTACTTTGATGGGATGGAAGTGTATAAATTTATTTTTAGGCAAAAATGAACTATTTTATTGATATGCAATTTAGCTGTGCAACGAAGAAAAGAACTCCTACTACATCTGAGATATTCAGTGATCGCCACTATACACAAGTTTGTCTATCTATAGCTACTACTGCAACTATTACATCACACACTCTATCGACAATTCCCAATCGATCATCAACTGCTAATTCTCTTGAATCCGAGGAGCTTTAGGCCATGAAACAACCACAATTTGGACAACTTTAGTGATAGCTGTAAGAAGTTGTCCAGTACTTGTAGCAACATGTTGTAAAATCCTTCTATTCCTCTCCTGCCAAAGATACGTACTATACAGTGATAGTAAGAGATAATCTTCTAATCTTAGTAACAAAGGAGTTTGAACCACCATGGTGACACCACCAATCCATTTCCTGTTCCCAAGGTAAGCACCCCATATATAGTAAGCACAATCTTTGCACTTTATCCCATATACACCTGGAGAAGGAACACTTGAAAAATAGATGTTTAACATATTTAGTGTCTTGATCGCATAACACACATCTATGTAGTATATCAGTCACACCTCACATGGTAAGTCTATCTTTAGTCATCAACTTTTGCTTTAAAATCAACCACAGTATAAATGCATAGTTGGGAACAAAAACTTTTCCTTAAACTAAAGAATGCCACTTCACTTTTCTATCTGCCTGATAAAGTTTCTTCAAAGCAGATTTAACAGAAAAAACCTAAACCACATACAATCCACTTCACATGATCTTTTCCATGCATTTGCTGCAACATAGAATTGCATTAAAGCTCCTTTCTTTGGGCTAGGACCGCGTTCTATCATTCACTGGATCACTTATCTTAGAGTTAACAGATAATCCTAAATTTTTATATAAAGATTCAGGATATCTTAAATATAAAAGCCCAAGTGCATGCCAATTATCAAAACAAGAAAAAGTGCTCTTACCATTACCAATGTCAATTTTAATCCATGGCTGAGCAAGATGCCTACGTTGTAACAACTTTCTCCAATACCATGAATAATCAACAGGAATTTACTTCCCAAAGACAATGTCCTTTCAGTATCACAAAGTGTATCCATCTAACCCATAAAGTATCATTTTTCTGACATAGATTCCAAATGAACTTAAGGATTAGACACCTATTCCAGTTGGCTATGTTCTGCAGTCCTAGTCCACTATTCTTCTTTGGTTTATAGACATCTTCCCATTTTACTTTTACTACATAATGTGATTTAATTTCACCAGACCATAGAAATGAGGATAACATGTTATCAATCTTTTTAAGTACTGGTTTGGCTAGTGTAAAAACACCAGTCCAACGGAGGTAGATACCACTAAGGATAGATAAGAAAAGCTGCAACCGACCTCCATAGGTAAGCTTTTTGCTGCCCAACTTTGTACCCTCTGCTGCATCTTCATAGAAACAGGTTGGTAGTCCTTGTAGCTGAGTTTTGTTGAAATAAGAGGCAAACCTAAGTATTTAACTACTAGTTCACCCTTTGGCATCTCTAATATGTTGCACAATTGTTGTCCCACTTCATCACTCTCACCAGCTACGTACACACTACTCTTATGAAGATTAGGCTTCAAACCAGATAAACTTCCAAATTCAGCAACCGTGTCTCTGACCAAACAAAAAGAATGCTCAATAACTACTGATATTAGAAACAAATCATCTACAAATGCAATATAGGTAGCTCCAAATTTGAACAATACGGATGAAAATCAAATCCTTTCCCTCCAAAATTCCACTTCAACAATATTGAAGTGAATAAAGTTAAGCAGGAAAGAAACAAGAAAGAGGAAAACAAATAAAAGAAGAGAACTCTTAAGAGAAACTACATATAAAGGAAACAAGAATTCACATGAATAGTACTACTAGGACAAGTTTAGAACAAGATAGTCAACTATGAAAGATTGAAGAATCTCAAATCGTATGATAAAATTTGGACTTTGTGATGAAGATCAATGTTTATGAATGGAAAAGAAATTTAGGAAACGAGGAAAGGAGACAATGACAACATGGTAGATAGAAGGTTTCTAGCACCAAGCAGCATTATGTAAGCAAGGCCAAAGATGATGACCAAACAGAATTCATTCCATACCATTTATTTGTTTCACAAGGGGACTTTTCGAATCTCTTGGAAAGTTTGGGTTTTAAGAAATTTATTACAATTAGTGCTTTTGTTTGAAGGCTACTCTATGGAGACATTGAACAATGTTTTGACATGGACAGCTGTAGACTTTTTTTAAAACTATTATTAAGGTGGAACACAAGTTTTTCATCATAATGCTGGATCATATCTGTAGAAAGTTGCTTTCAACTTGTTCTGCTTACAATTGTGTATGTACAGTACTAATAGGTTGAGAAAATTATACTTTTGGTACTTGTTTCCACAAATATGTATGTTGCTCGTCAGAAATAAGGGATATTATCTCCATGTCAGATACCCTTTATGGTGTGTACTTTTATAAGCATGTCATTTTTTCGAATCAAGAGATTTTTCTATGTTCTGTCCTATTTTGCATTTATATTGCCATTATTTACCAGATGATTTTCTGGGATTTTTGTTTACTATTGTCTTGGTTTCTATAGTACTTTTTTTCTATATTCTTTGAGAAAGATTTCCTTGGTTTTGGTTGTTTTGATTCCTAAATCTATAGAGGATTAAATGCATAGCTAGTCTACTTCCATGTGATCTCAGAAAGCTTCTGCATTAGTGGCAGTGAACCTTTTATTTTGTTATTAAAACAATAAACAATTTGTTACACAATTTATTTTGAATACTTTGTGGTTTAAAAGACACGCATTTAAAGTTGCTGAATGTTTTCTTGGCTCTTGGGGCAGATACTTTAACTACTTGGCTAACTTGGAAGACGTGCTTAATTTTCCAGTGCTCAGAAAGCTTGTGTTCAGGCCTTTTTCACGTCATATCAGAAATAAGGTACGTCAATACTCAGTAGTGTAGGATATGTAGGATATGTTTGTCATTTTTCATTTTTATTTCTTGAGAAATCTGGTCTAAGATTATTGAGCTAGTAAATGCAAAAGGGCCATGTATTGCTTCCAAATGCTAGTTTGTTATTGGCTTCATCTGCAATGGAAAGTCATCAGGGCAAGTAGATTGATCTTATCAATATCAATGGGCTATCATAGAAAAGAACAAAGTAGATCTTGGTTAACATTTTTGTCATGGGTTTTCGCTTTCAGGTCAAATGCTTGCTTGTGAAGTACTCTGGTTCTGAAAAAGACAATTAATTCCCCAGAAAAGATCGATTTTCACAATATTTACTTCCATGATGCACAAGTCACTAGGAAGCTGTATCGAATTTTGAGAGCATGTTTCTCCTTTGGGTCTAAGATATTTTTATCTTTTATCTTTATCTGTTGGCAAATCTGGTCTAAGATTTTTTAGCTAGTAGATGATTGAACTAAACAATTATTTATATGTGTAATGGTAAGTTTATGAAGAGGATCATTAAAAGTGGACAACCTCCTTTAATATAAGGAGGCATTAAAGCTTTGTTTTTCTTTTCTCCAAAATAGTATTTTTGATCTTTAAAGTATTGTTACTGTGTATAACTGTGTGTTTGTATGGAATTCAATACTTTGTTGAGTGAAAATTTTGGTTTCATGGTTGACAATCAAAGTTTTCTAGTATAAGCTGGAGTTAGGATGAGGTTTGCTGAGTTAGAACGCAAAGAATTTCTCTTATTTTTGTTGTTTGTGCAGATGACTTGTCCCCTGCACCTTTTAGAATAGTGTTCCTAGACCCTGATGGTAAGGACTATTTAGCTAGAGTTGAAGTTTATAGTGCAGCTATAGTTAAGCTTCTGCATAATTTGTTTCTTTTTCTAGGAGGTCTGTAGGTCTATCATTGGTTTGCCTGATCATTGTCGCTTTTACCAAGCAATGGTAGTTTCTGGTTTTCTATGTATTGCTATTTGGGTTTATAATCTTTGCTTTCTTTATTTTCAGGTAATATGGAAGAAAAGAGAAGCACTGTAGTGAAGAGGACAAAAGCTCAAATAAAGCACAAGTTGGAGAAGAAAGGGAAGGGAGCCCATGGTTCTCAAGAAATGAACGCTACTGAAGGGAAAAAGAGGGATGAAGAAATGATTATAATTAGCAGCAGTAGCGTGATGAAGAGCAAGAGGGAGAAAATGTACACCGGAAGCTGTTCAATAGAAAAGGAAAGGAACTGCTAAAAAGATTTTTTATGATGATAAGAGCAGTGGAAGTGATGTTAGGATTTTGGGGGAAGAGAAGTGGTGGAAGAAGTGAAATTGAAGGAATTAGATAGGATGAGGAGGAGGAGGAGGAGGAGGAGAGACACTGTTTACAAGGGAAAGAATAATGATGGTGGAAGTGGAAGCGATGTCGTGCTTATGACTGAAGAAGATATCCCCCGAAACTTGAGATGTAATTATGTCAAGGGTAGGAAGCATTTTCCATCTAGAAGAAAGAGGGGTAGAAGTGATGGAAATGCGACAGATGAAAGGATGACCATGGAGAGTGAACCTTTAGGGAATCGAGCTCAGGAGGGAAAAGGTCTTCTAATTAAGAATCTTGATGCTCTCGACTCACAATCCTCTACCTGAAGAGGATACTGATGATTCTGATCATACAAACCATTGGGTTATTGTAGTGAGGATAACCTTGAAGGAGGGATAGGAAAAGATGATGGCTTCATTCAACTACCAAGTCCAAAGTCCAGAAAACAGGAACCAAGACTCGGAACATCAAGAAAGCGCTGCCTTCATGTTTCTGAGAGTGAAAGTTATGATTCATCAGATCAGGTGCCAAAGAAGAAAAAGGAAGGCAGTAGAATACTAAACCCTCTAAGAGAAGAGAAAGAGACGTGGATTACATGAATATTCTTCTGGGGTCCATGCTGAAGGATGATAAGCAGACAAAGGAAAATCCATTTTCTTTTGAAGACAATGGTCCTACTAATACACTGCTATTAAAATTCAGATTTGATGACGAAGATCTAACCCCACCGGAGAAAGAAGACTGGCAAAAAGAAATTGATAATCTTTTTACTGAGATGGAAATATGCCTTACATTACCAGATTCTGACTTTACCGAATCATCCAATTCCAAGGTAATGGTGCTTGTTAATTATGAGAGATATGACATTCTTGGCTCTTGGGGCAGATACTTTAACTACTTGGCTAACTTGGAAGACGTGCTTAATTTTCCAGTGCTCAGAAAGCTTGTGTTCAGGCCTTTTTCACGTCATATCAGAAATAAGGTACGTCAATACTCAGTAGTGTAGGATATGTAGGATATGTTTGTCATTTTTCATTTTTATTTCTTGAGAAATCTGGTCTAAGATTATTGAGCTAGTAAATGCAAAAGGGCCATGTATTGCTTCCAAATGCTAGTTTGTTATTGGCTTCATCTGCAATGGAAAGTCATCAGGGCAAGTAGATTGATCTTATCAATATCAATGGGCTATCATAGAAAAGAACAAAGTAGATCTTGGTTAACATTTTTGTCATGGGTTTTCGCTTTCAGGTCAAATGCTTGCTTGTGAAGTACTCTGGTTCTGAAAAAGACAATTAATTCCCCAGAAAAGATCGATTTTCACAATATTTACTTCCATGATGCACAAGTCACTAGGAAGCTGTATCGAATTTTGAGAGCATGTTTCTCCTTTGGGTCTAAGATATTTTTATCTTTTATCTTTATCTGTTGGCAAATCTGGTCTAAGATTTTTTAGCTAGTAGATGATTGAACTAAACAATTATTTATATGTGTAATGGTAAGTTTATGAAGAGGATCATTAAAAGTGGACAACCTCCTTTAATATAAGGAGGCATTAAAGCTTTGTTTTTCTTTTCTCCAAAATAGTATTTTTGATCTTTAAAGTATTGTTACTGTGTATAACTGTGTGTTTGTATGGAATTCAATACTTTGTTGAGTGAAAATTTTGGTTTCATGGTTGACAATCAAAGTTTTCTAGTATAAGCTGGAGTTAGGATGAGGTTTGCTGAGTTAGAACGCAAAGAATTTCTCTTATTTTTGTTGTTTGTGCAGATGACTTGTCCCCTGCACCTTTTAGAATAGTGTTCCTAGACCCTGATGGTAAGGACTATTTAGCTAGAGTTGAAGTTTATAGTGCAGCTATAGTTAAGCTTCTGCATAATTTGTTTCTTTTTCTAGGAGGTCTGTAGGTCTATCATTGGTTTGCCTGATCATTGTCGCTTTTACCAAGCAATGGTAGTTTCTGGTTTTCTATGTATTGCTATTTGGGTTTATAATCTTTGCTTTCTTTATTTTCAGGTAATATGGAAGAAAAGAGAAGCACTGTAGTGAAGAGGACAAAAGCTCAAATAAAGCACAAGTTGGAGAAGAAAGGGAAGGGAGCCCATGGTTCTCAAGAAATGAACGCTACTGAAGGGAAAAAGAGGGATGAAGAAATGATTATAATTAGCAGCAGTAGCGGTGATGAAGAGCAAGAGGGAGAAAATGTACACCGGAAGCTGTTCAATAGAAAAAGGAAAGGAACTGCTAAAAAGATTTTTTATGATGATAAGAGCAGTGGAAGTGATGTTAGGATTTTGGGGGAAGAGAAAGTGGTGGAAGAAGTGAAATTGAAGGAATTAGATAGGATGAGGAGGAGGAGGAGGAGGAGGAGAGACACTGTTTACAAGGGAAAGAATAATGATGGTGGAAGTGGAAGCGATGTCGTGCTTATGACTGAAGAAGATATCCCCCGAAACTTGAGATGTAATTATGTCAAGGGTAGGAAGCATTTTCCATCTAGAAGAAAGAGGGGTAGAAGTGATGGAAATGCGACAGATGAAAGGATGACCATGGAGAGTGAACCTTTAGGGAATCGAGCTCAGGAGGGAAAAGGTCTTCTAATTAAGAATCTTGATGCTCTCGACTCACAATCCTCTACCCCTGAAGAGGATACTGATGATTCTGATCATACAAACCATTGGGGTTATTGTAGTGAGGATAACCTTGAAGGAGGGATAGGAAAAGATGATGGCTTCATTCAACTACCAAGTCCAAAGTCCAGAAAACAGGAACCAAGACTCGGAACATCAAGAAAGCGCTGCCTTCATGTTTCTGAGAGTGAAAGTTATGATTCATCAGATCAGGTGCCAAAGAAGAAAAAGGAAGGCAGTAGAATACCTAAACCCTCTAAGAGAAGAGAAAGAGACGTGGATTACATGAATATTCTTCTGGGGTCCATGCTGAAGGATGATAAGCAGACAAAGGAAAATCCATTTTCTTTTGAAGACAATGGTCCTACTAATACACTGCTATTAAAATTCAGATTTGATGACGAAGATCTAACCCCACCGGAGAAAGAAGACTGGCAAAAAGAAATTGATAATCTTTTTACTGAGATGGAAATATGCCTTACATTACCAGATTCTGACTTTACCGAATCATCCAATTCCAAGGTAATGGTGCTTTGTTAATTATGAGAGATATGACATTCTCTGATTACTACATTGTGATTTCTGGATTTGGAGTTACATAAGTATCTACATAGTTTCCATGACAGGTTGAACAGTTTAACTAATCCTAGAGAAACAAAAATTGTTTCTTCAATACGTTACTGCTGGTAATGTTTAGAAAGATAGCTCATTATTATGCTGCTGCCGTATTCCTTTTGTTAGATCCATTATTTGTCTGTCGGCTAAGTTTGGAGATTTTAGTCAATCTGCTAACGTTTTGACTTCTTCCCCGGAATAGTGAAGTTGATGCCTTAGAACTTTGAAATGCTTTGGAAACATGCAGTAGGTATCATCTCATGTTGGTCATCTAATATTTGTTTCTTTCTCAGTTATTATCTAATAATCTATGGTTAACAAGATCATATATGGTTATTTTCAAATTGTTATAGTTTTGTTGACTGTATGGTTTCAGTTCTGCTGCAAGAAAAAAGAGTTAATGAAATTTAAAATACTAGTTTTACTCTGATATGTTAACTTGTCCATGCATGAAAATTTGGATTATGTGGAAGTAGGCAATTTTCTCCGCTCTTGTACAATAACTTTACAATATTTGGATTGTAAGACATGTTTTCAATTTCCAAACTGTACAATATTTTGGATTGTTTGATTTGTTTTTCGTCGTCGTTGTATTACGTAAATTTGTTCTAAAAATTTCATAATTGTATTCACAATCACATACAGATACTCCCATCTAGTTCTTTGCGAGATCTCAGTCATTAGACAGAAAGACATAAAAGTATTTTCTGTGTGCTATTTGTGTCATAAGAAACCTCCCAAGTTTTTCACCCTTCTGGTGAAATTTACCATTTGTCTTAGATTTGCATCGTCCAAATAATGTTCTTGATATTTTTTGCTGGCTTCGCTGTCAATTTCCAATGATGATTTAGTTTCCACACCTTTTGGATTTTAAATTTCTGGGTTTCATTCCTAGCACAAGAACATTGATCGAGTTTTCTTCTTATCATGCATGTTTTACTCTTTTTAATTATCCGATTCTCCAAATTGAAACTCATGTGAGAAGATTTTGTGTTCTTGTGTTGTTGATCATCAGGATGGCACTCATCATGTCACTGCAACGGCCAAGTGCCAAGCAGAATTATGTCTCTCAGGGAAACATCAACTGATTCTTGAAGAACCAATTGGAATCGTATGCAGATGTTGTCAAATTGTGCATAAGGAGATGAAGGACATATTTCCTACACTGGTATGTATTCCAACTTGTCATTTGCATTTATATTCTGACTTGAATTCCCTTCCTTTATGCTCCTTATAGATGAACTTAAATGAATGAACTTCATATTCCTATATATTTTTTTTTCGCTAAGCTCCTTGCTTTATTGGCTCAAAACAGAAGCGTAAGCATGTAAGATGGGGGAACACCCTGACAAAGATAGAGAAATAAGAATTTCTGTTCTAAGTGCATAACAGACACTAGGCTATTCTAGAACTCACTCTAAAACTTTAGGAGAAATGCCCAAGTCTAGGCACAGGCTAAAATTTTCACTAGACTGAAAAACCTAGCCAACCACTAACCAAACCACAAAGGTCCTGCAAAATTTGCTTGCAAACATAGTAAGCTGGATACAACAGACTTTTGGATAAATTGCAACAACAAATCTCACCCTCCACACATTTCTATCAAATGAATTTCTAGCACAGTGTTGTTCAACCTATAACAATTCAATGGACCAACTCTTAGCAATTGTATATCTAGCTAGTTCTTAGCATGATTCAAAGTCTCAGCCGAGACCGAGACGACTAGGCTGAATCATCATCGGCGAGAAATCGGCTGAGAAATCTCCGATACAGACAGTCTCAGCCGAATCGGTCTGAGTCATTCCGAGTCAAATTGTAAATTTATATTTTACATATTTTCTTTTGCTTTTTTTTATTATTTTTGTTTAGCATATTTTTAAATATTATTCACAATTTTTAGAATATTAAATATTTCAAATTTTACATCTCGCCGAGATCGATGTGAAACGGTCCGGACCGTGACTGAGACTTTGAATCATAGTTCTTAGAGGGTACGGACAAGAGTGTATGCTCAGAGATTCATAGGACCACAACCATGTTCTACAGGCATACCCCGAAACAGTAGCCTATCTTTAGTAATTAATGTCCACTCACATGCATGGTTCACAGTCGCAATCGTGGTCCAAACCGTTTCACATCGGTCTCGGCATATCGATCACTGTGTCGATGAGACGCAAATTTTGAAATATTTAATATTTTAAAAACTATGAATAATATTCAAAAATATGCTCAACAAAAAAAATAAAAAATTAGCAAAAGAAAATCTGTAAAATGTAAATTTGCGAGTTGATTCGGGATGACTCGGGCTGAATTGGCCTAAACTATCGGTATTGGAAATTTTTTGGCCGAGTTCTTGACGAATCAAGTATCTTGGAATCATTTCATCTCGGTATCGTATCGGAGATGTCCGTTCTGATGACGACTCGGCCGAGACTTTGAACCATCATGTCAACCTTGAGAGACAGGAATGTTTAAGCATATATTTCTTTCCACCGACAACTATATACCTTGATAACTATTAGACTGAGATTGAACTTTTTCATGGTTGATCTGGTAGTGTAGAATCCTGAAGAATCAGGTGTCGGATCTACCTAATTGTCAAAATCTACAATAGGCAGAAAATAAGGAGTATCACGTTTTAAAGCAGCAGCACCTCTTAATTTCCTATCGGAGAACCAAAAACAAGCACCATACTTAATGGTGGTGGCCACCTTAGCATCATTTTTACTAGCAAAGAGCTGAATAATCTGGGCTGAGTTGTGTAGCGAAATGGGACTTTACGAAATTACCAGAACTTCATGTTGTTACTTGCATTCCCAGTTATTTTTTAAATTTTATCTAAATTGCTATTGCCTGCAGAAAAAGGAGACTCCACGAAGACGGGATTGGGTTGACCTTCGCAGAGGTGAATGCTTTGGTATTCATGAGCTTCATCTTGATGACCCAGGCTCTGGAAACTATTACACCTCCGTTGATGCTGAAGGCTCTGTACTGGATCTTATTCCAGATCACATTAGGATGTCAATGTATAGTCATCAGCTGGATGGATTTGTCTTCTTGTGGAAAAACATAGTAGGAGAAACCTGCATCGAGAAGCTGAAAACTGAACTTTCTGATGATGGAAGAGGAGCCATAATATCACATGCCCCTGGCACCGGGAAGACCTGCTTGACAATTGTTTTTATTCTGTCTCTGTTGAAAATGTATCCAATGTGCCGACCCGTGATTATAGCTCCTACAAGCATGCTGCTCACCTGGGATAATGAGTTCCGAAAATGGGGATATAGAATTCCTTTTCATAACTTTAATAGCAAGGATTTGTCAGGAAACGAACTCAAAACTGATGCAGAATTTCTTCGGAGAGTAGGAAGCCGAATGACAAAGCTGTACTCGTGGACAAAGGAGAAAAGTGTTCTAGGAATCAGCTACAAGTTATTTGAGCAGATTGCTAGTGGACAGAAGGGAAAAGGAAGCGATGAAAAACTTAAGGAAATCTTTCTTCAACTTCCTGGTCTTGTGGTTCTTGACGAAGGGCACACGCCTCGCAATCAACAGAGTCTTGTCTGGAAGGTTTTGACAGGAGTTAAGACAAAAAGAAAGATAATCCTCTCTGGAACTCCTTTTCAGAATAACTTCGAGGAGTTGTATAATACTCTTTGCCTGGTAAACCCAAAGCTTTCTGGTTCAATGAACTCTGAGAGTCGCAGCAGAAGATGGCAGCGGAAGAGCAATGTGGAGAAAGAGAGATGGGTTTCCTTGACCAATGCCATTGATAAGAACTCTGGCAACGCAGTAGAGGAGCTTAAAGCCATGATAGATCCCTTTGTACATGTACACAAAGGTTCTATACTAGAAGAGAGTCTCCCTGGTCTGAAGGACACACTTGTTATTTTGCGACCAACTGATGAGCAGAAGGGCATTATTCAGCTTATATCGGATGATTGGAGCAGGTTTGACCAAGTACATTTGGTGTCACTCATTTCTGTCCACCCCTCATTAGCTGCTTTCAGCAAACGCTTCTCTGGCGACAAAGACAGACTACGGGTACTTGAATGCGGTCCTTATGCTGGAGTAAAGACGAAATTTGCCATTGAGCTCATCCGATTATGTGATGCATCGCATGAGAAGGTTATAGTTTTCAGTGAATTTATTCACCCTTTGAGATTCATAATGCAGCAGTTGATCGATCAGTTAAAGTGGAGGGAAGGCATAGAAGTGCTGTATATGGATGGAAAACGTGACGAGAAGAATCGCCAGTCATCAATTAGTTCTCTGAATGATCCCTCCGGTAAGGTGAAAGTTCTTTTTGCGTCCACAAAAGCTTGTTCTGAAGGAATAAATCTTAGTGGGGCTTCAAGAGTTGTTCTGTTAGACGTCGTTTGGAATCCTGCAGTTGAAAGGCAAGCAATAAGCAGAGCATATAGGCTTGGCCAAAAGAAGTTTGTCTATGTTTATCATTTGATAACCTCTGGGACCTTGGAGGTTGAAAAGTATGCTCAACAGGCTAACAAAGATCGCTTGTCTGAGTTGGTATTTTCTTCTCGAGACAGGCAAAGGATCAAGTCCAGAATCTCATCTGTTTTCGAGGACAAAATCTTGGAAGGAATGCTTGACAACAAAATGCTGTATGATATCTTTGAGAATGTTATTCACCAGCCAAAGGAATCAAATGTATTTGCAAACTTCAATTATGTTGAGCACAGGCATTAGCCAAAAGACCTTTCGCTGCTGCATCTCTCATCAGTTGTTGATGCTGTCGCCTTTTGTTTGGGAGCTCCAGGGACCTTTCTTCTGATAGCTTTTGAAACTTGCTGCACTTTGTCATTGAGTATACTCTGATAATAACATGAAACTTGTTCTATGTTTTAAAATTGTTGCACAGTGATGTGTTTCTAAACTTTCATCAAAGGTTTTTCTGTTGTATTTTAATCAGCATTGTTTTACAGAATGGTTTTTGGTAGTTTTTCCAGCCATGTCTTTTGTTGCCTGAGAAAGTACTTGTTCTATGATTGATCAAGTAATTGTACTGTTTTTCATTCAATGTTATCACTGTTTTTGCAGGGAATAACTACTCTGTGCTACAGGCATCTAATGAAAACTCAAAAAGACAGCTTGGTTTTGCTCACAGCTGTTTTTATTTACAGGAGGTTGGTGATGCTGTTATTAGTTACCCAATGTTCTACCTGTTTTTTTTTTTTTCCAAAAAACAAATTAAAATTGCATACAATGGGAGCTCATCCATGTATTTAGTATCTATTCTCTTTTTTCTTTTCGGTATCAACTGCATATCATATCTTAGTAATTGTTAAAATTGATAGCTTAAGAGTGCTAAGTGCAAATTTATGATAGTTCAAGGGTGCAAATTGTAATTAACCTTTCCTCTTTTTTTTTTTTTTTTTTACCTACTTTCAAGTTTCACCCCTATCTTCCTGCTCTCTACTCATGCTTTTTCTTTTTTTTTTCCCCCTCACTCTTGGAGAACATTCTAATCACCAATGATCCCATAATTCCAAGGTATATTATAGGTGCAATTTACACTTTTCTTTCAACTATTTTCCTCTAAAGTTTGGAATATTTGAGGAAGGATTAAATGAAATAACAGGGACTTTTGTCCCAAAGGCAGTATAGGAAGGTTGAAGAGATTCAATCTCAAATGAGTACATAACAACCCCCTAGGAGATCTAGTGGACGTGGTCATCCCAACTTGGCTGCCGACTCACATTCGCCGGTGGATCTCTTCTTCTCAGGGTTGCGGATCCGTGGTGGCGGTGACAGTGCGGGCCTCCCACCTCCTCCTTGCCATCCTCACCAATTGCTTCAACAACGTGGTAATATTTTGATTAATTATGCAACGTTCTGCATGCATGCATGCATACGTGCTTTTTCATTTTTTACTATGATGTACAAGGTAAAATAGGGTTAAAAATGGAAAATTTTGAAAACAATCCTGCTTTCTTTAGTAATAGGGGCATGCCTTGTTTAGAGGGTTTAGTTCTGCTCTATTTTAATAGTTGAATGGGAAGTAGTAATATGAAAAATTCAATGCTTCATATATATATAATGGTAAATGCATGAATTCTAGGGTGTAAATTAAATGAGTCTAATTATGCCATACGTCTGTTTTATATAGTAGATGAAGCTAAGCGAGCTATGCATCAGCTAACTTGTATTTGAATTTGTCTTTGATTATTTTTTTCACTTGAGCTCAAATACAGCTCAAGAATCTCGATTAATGTATACAGAATTCTAATTTTTTTTCATTCCAATTGTTATGCATGCTTGAGTTTTGCATTCCAATTGTCACTCTTCACTTGGCATAAGTAGAATGAGAAAGTACTTTGGAACATGTCTAACCTTTGGATGGTGGCCTCTTGGGCAGTTAGATAAATTCTTTGACAGAATTGAATTGTCCATAATCTAACTAGAGTGAAATTCCTGTAGATACAACACAATTATTGCTCCTTTCTTGCTTGGACCTCTACTTTCTCTGTTAGGAAGCACAACTGGAGAATGGTTATATTTTATGTAGCTTGACACATCGTCCAAATTAGCAAGATATATATGTTTCTGAAGGGTTTTCAATAACCAAGTTTCGAGGGATCTAGAAAGCAAAACTGCAAGCTGGTTTGATTATATTAATAGTACTCGATTTTGTATTCCTTTTGGGGTTATGTAGTCAAATTAAATCCTTGCCTTTTTAAATTCTTTAGATGATAATAGTTCTTTTTTGAACGTTTCAAGAATGAAATTCCTCATCTTCAACCCGAAGCTAAAAGAGACATGCCTGTTCAGGTGGCTTCTGTTGCTCCAGCTATCAGTGGTACACGAGCATTTCTCTTGCTGTTCGTGGGGTCTCAGTGGCAACTTCCTCATTTCAGCAACTAGATTTTCAGTTTAAATTTGGCATGTCTAGGCCAAACGCATGGTCTCAAGGAATAGCATCTGAATCAGTTCAAATGTCCATTCAATCTCCAATTGCAGGCTCTTCCCAATTTCAAGAGTCTGCATATCTTCCCAGCTTCCAGCCATATGTTTTGCAGCCACAAGTGATGCAGAATGGTCAGGGATTGAACTTTTCTGCTACAGTTGGTCATCATTTTGGTTCTCCATCTGTCAACAATGATGGGATTCTTCTATTGCATGCGCAAAATGATTTCAGCAATGCAAAGCGTAAAATGTCCATAAAGATTACTCATCCAGAAACTAAAGAAGAGTTAAAACTTGATGAGCTTGCAAAACCAAAGCATGATAGTGGTTCTGCTGGTACAAGAGCACAATATACCATGGAGCTCCAACCCCAGCCTTTCACTTGTGGTAACTCTCACTTAGTGAATTATTTTCCTTATATGCAGCCATATCCCTTTTCTTCGCCCAGTCCAAGTCCAATACCTTTTTCAAGCATGCAGATGCTTCCCGTGAAGTCAAGGGTTAACTATTTAGGTAGGTAAGGCTCTATTTAGTTGATTAAAGCTCATATTATGCAGATAAATGCTAGTAGCAGGGAGGAAACTATATTTTTCTCTTAACATGTTTTTCTGCTGCAGATTATCGTGCAGATTTTCATGGTGCAGTTATAGAATCTAGGTCGGAATATAGTTCCTCATTCTCAGTTCCTACTAGTACTGAGTTAGCTTTTCTTTCTGTTGGAGAAAAGATTTTATCTCCAGTGTCAGTCAATTCAGTTGTGAATGATAAAAGTGAAGCAATTAAGTCAAGGAAACCTCAAAGAGTTGGCTCTGGACAAAAGAAATCAAAGATTCATTCAGAGATCGCTGTTAAACCCCCATCTGAAGTGGTTATTAAACCAACGACCTCAATTGTATCATCTCATAGAGCTATTCCTTCCTCTGTATCTGTTGAGGGGGATCTTACTGGGGAGCGCGCCAATGGTGATGGTAAGAAGTCTGTGCCCATGGAAAATTCAGAGTACCTTAGCAAACCTAAGGAAGTGCAGCCTGTTATTGAAAATATTCACAAAAAGCAAATTGTGGATGAGTTGAGATTGCCAGAAACTAGTAAAAAAATGGAAAAAGGTAAACCGAAGGACTGGAAAAATTTTGCTGATATTTCCACTCCAGAATTTCATATTTCAAGGAAAGTTGAACTGCATCAGAACATGAGCAATGCTGCTTCAGATAGCATTATAGTTCCAGGGAAAAAGAGGTATTCAAGAGATTTTCTCCTCACACTTTCAAGTCAGTTTGTTGAACTTCCTACTGATTTTGAATTAGTGGGTGACATGATAAAGGGGATTTTGGTTTCCAAAGTTCTGGATGATTTAGGGTACAGAGTTGAGGATGGTAGCAAGCGGATCAAAATGCTTGCTCCATCTGCATTTGCAGAGGAGCTACAATTTGGGAATACGCAGGGGAATATTGGTGTTCATTCCAGGCCAGGGACCTATAGAAGGAACTTGCATGGGCAGACTCCTGACCATTGTGATGGTGGTTTTGCAACTTCATTTTTGCCACGGTCATCTCATTCTAGAACAAGAAATAAATGTCCTGAACCTGACCATTGGCAACAAGATGCATTCTTAGATATTGGGCTTATTTCTTCACCTCAGTCTCCTCTGCAAGTTATGCACTTAGCTGAGAAAAAATATAAGGTACACAAAGGGATTGATGGTGAAGAGGCGAAGCAAAGACAGTTGAAGGCTATTCTTAACAAGCTAACGCCTCAAAACTTTGAGAGGCTCTTTCAGCAAGTGAAGGAAATTAATATTGATAACTCAATCACTCTTTCTGGTCTTATTTCTCAGATATTTGATAAAGCTCTTATGGAACCAATGTTTTGTGAGATGTATGCAGATTTTTGTTATCATCTTGCTCAAGAGCTTCCTAATTTTGTTGAGGGCCGTGAGAAGGTTACATTTAGAGGACTTCTGCTTAATAAATGTCAAGAGGAATTTGTGAGAGGGGAAAGACAGCAGGCAGGAGCTAATATAATAGAAGAGGGTGGGGAGGCCAGGCTATCTGAAGAGGAAAGAGAAGAAAAGAGGATCTGTGCCCGAAGAAGGATGTTAGGCAATATAAGATTGCTTGGGGAACTCTACAAGAAGAAAATGTTATCAGAGAGATTAATGCATGATTGCATCCAGAAACTACTTGGAAAACATGATTCTCCAGAGGAAGATGACGTTGAGGCTCTCTGCGAGCTAATGAACACTGTTGGTGAGGTTATTGATCATCCTAAAGCTAAGGTGCAAATGAATGCATGTTTTGAGGTGATGAAGAATTTGTTAAACAACAGTGAGTTGTCGTCAAGGATGAGGTTCATTTTGAAGGATGTTATTGATCTTAGAAAAAATAGATGGCAGCAGAGGAGAAGAGTTGAAGGCCCAAAGAAAATTGATGAACTACATATTGACGCAGCTCAAGAACGACGAGCACTTGTCAATCGACTGACTAGTGTTTCAAATGTCAATTCATCAAATAAAAAGTTTTCTGCAAATTTCAGTCCTAGGCAATCAAGTTTCCAGTCTCGAAGAAATATGAGAGTCAGTACATTTCATGCAATGAGATCGCATGTTCCTGGATTCGTAAGTCAGGATGTCCGTTTGGAAGACAAATATCTATGCAAGCAAGGAACACTACAAGTTCCCTTTCCACGAAGATTGAGCCGGGGTCAACACCTTGGTCATGCCAAGAAAGTCTCTCTCAGGGCACCACCAATGCTTGATGGTTTACATACTGATTTAGGCAAATCTAGGAGTACAGCGGCTTCTCCAAATGGTTTCAGTTCTAAATCGGAGCAGAAGCAGTATAACACAGAGCAACATTCAGCGCCAAGAAACGCAACCAATATTTTCAGGCCAGCATCAGGTTATGACCAGCCAAACAAGCAGAGAAATAACCATAATGTAAATAGAGACTTTTACCAACCAAAAATTGTGGAAAACTAATAGCAGCTCCTGTGATCATCCATCCCGTTAAACCGATTCTCCTCTCAACTGTTCTATCGAGAAAGGTTTGTACTGTAGAATGCTTTGAAGAAAGATCCGTGGCTGCAATGCAAGATTTTACAGGTAATATCTTGGATCTGATTATGCATTTTTGCTTTAAATTGCTCGAAATGTATTTTGTTTTCCACGATTTTATGCTCATATTTGTCCATCAAAATGAGAATGTCGTGTGCTATTTCTTGGTACTTGAATATACACTCAGTTATTTTGCTTAAAGTGCAAGGGACGAAATGAGGTTATTTTGTATGTTAGAGGCCTGAACTCAACAAAATAGCATCCATTAGTATTTTAAAAAAAAAGAGAGAGGAGGTTGAGAATGGATGGAGATAAAGATCTTTTCTCTGGCCTCCTTGTCAATCTGCTTGACTCTAAAACTGGAGATTCTGTTGTCAGTTAGCTTATTAAGAGGCAAGCAATTGTTTATTTAACTTGAATGCTTTTGCACACAGTTGAGGTTATAAACATACACTGCATTAACCTTGATATCTAAGAATACACAATTTATCAGTCATCACCAGTTCTGTGGCCTTAACTTCTATAACTTTTTCAGAGCTAACCTCCTCCTTTTTTTTTCCATGTCTTGGTTCCATCAAATTGTTTGCATGATCAGGTTTAAATTGGTTCTCGCAACCTTGGCAGGATGCTGATACTGATGCACTGAATGCTGTAGCATCACTGTTGTAAGGTCCTCCCATTAGAAGAGTCAAAAAGCTAAAAAGCCAAAGCGGCAAGGAACTTTTACGGTGCTGAAAATTGGAAGTTGGGAGAGCGTCTGCTGAAGAGTTTTGAAGGCGTTCCCACATGCAGTTGGTCCATTTTCGCCCGTGGGGTTCTCTCAAGTGACAGTTTTATGATCATTTGGCAGAATTTCCCTGCTATCATATGAATTAAGTTTATAGCACTATCAAGCTAATTGTAGTAGCTCTTAGGCAGAAATGTTTTGTTGCAGATACAGGTATATAGTATGTGAATTTTCCTGCTGTTGTAGAGTGCGTCTCTTTTTCAGCTAAATTATACCAATACTCTTAATTTTTTTAGCACAAACTTAACAAATTTTTTTTCTCGTGTGCGTTTGATAAAACTAAAATCTGAAAGCTGAAATCTGAAATTTGAATCAATTAAGTTATTAAATCATTAAGTGAATAACTTATCACTTAATTTTGAAAGCAAGTTTTGTTTAGAAAATTTAGTACCACTTGATTAATTCAGACGTTCAATTTTTAATTATCAAACGATCTGAATGTGTTAAGATTTGAATCTATTAATTTTAAGCGCTGAGTTGAATTGAATTATCAAAGTGTTAATAGTCTTTGTTCTTTGTTGCTGACACAAATCCCTCAATATAGAAATCTTTTTGGTTCATTGACCTGCGTCCTTAGCAATTAGCATTAGTACTAACTTGACCGCATTAGTAAATGAGGAGTGCCATATTTGAAAGACCTCTTTTAATAAGGTCAACATTTTTCATGCCATCACATCAAAGTTTAGCAACTCAGAAGACAAGAGGCCTTCCAAACATATTTTACTAGAATTACTTGGGGGTGAAAATTGCACGTAGTGATAATTTAAGGGGTAGTTTTAGATTGACCTTAAACTGTAGCCAACCCGTGCCCAAAAGTGTTTGCGCCGGCCGACCCGATCCAAAGTTCTTGTAAGAAAATAGGCATAATTTTAGAAACCTCCTCTAAGGTTTTTGATGATTTTACTAGTCTCTTCTAAAGTTTATAAAATTATACAAACCTCCCTTGAGATTAAGGTTTTGATATTCAATTAGAAAAAATAACTGTTTTGGATTGTAAATTATTTGAGACAATTTTGTGAAAAAGTACTGTAACACTTTTTTGATATAATGTATATGAGATAAAAAAGTGATTGAAAAATGTGTTGATGATACAAGTAAATCAGTGCCTGTAAATAAGGTGTAATAAAGTGAAATAACACACAATCCAAACACACTCAATTAAACAAGTACTTTAAAGAGAGAGATGAAACTTTTATTCCATAAATATCCCTTATACACATATATAAGTCGTTTTAGTAAAAGAATAAAAATAATTAAAAGTTAGAAATAATTAATACATACATTTAATCACTCAAAAAGTTCATATTTAATAAATTAAACAATACAAATAAGTAATAAAAATACACTAATGATTACAAGATTTAACAAAACAGACTAGTTATCTCTTTTAATATGATGTTTGCTATAATTCTTATGATTTTTAACAGAAAATTTTTTTAATTTTGCATTTTTTCCCTTCTTTCAATTTTTTTTGAAACTCTTAAAGTTGTGACAATTGTAAAGTAATTTCATGGAAACAAAGGAGAAAGGAAAGAAAAAAAGGCAAAATTTAAAAAAAAATTTGTTCAAAATCACAAAAATCATAACAAATATCATGTCAAAGGATATGGCTAGTTTGTTTTGCTGAATCTTATGATTATTAATGTAATTTTATTGATTATTTGTATTGTCTATTTTTTTAAATTCGAACATTTTGAGTAGTGAAATGTGTGTATTAATTATTTCTAACTTTTAATTATTTTCATTCTTTTACTAATTCAATTTATATATTTGCATAAGGGGTATTTATGAAATAAAAGTTTTACCTCTCTCCTTAAAGTACTTTTTTAATGTTACTTTTTCTAATTGGACCAATTTGTTAGGTAAAGCTTAACCTTGGCGGAGGTATGTGTACTTTTATAAAATTTAGGGAGGCTAGTGAAATTATTATAAACCTCAGGGGAGGTTCTGAAATTATCCCCAGAAACTAAAACAGGAGAATTAGGGCTTTTAGTCAGTCAGTCGTTCGTCTTCCTGTTCAGCAGCCGCTCTCTTCCTCTCCGCTACCAGACTTCAGTCACCAATCGATCAAAAATGGTAAAATTTGATCTCAAATTTGCACCACTAGATTTAAATCTCTGTGCATAATTTTGTTTTCTTTTGACTTGTAGATCAAACATTTTATGGTCTATCTTTTGGTCCGGAAACTTTAGTTTGTCGAAATTTTTTTTCCTTAATTTCTACGAATATGGATGGCGTAATCCTGTTGTAGCTTGTAATTTGTAGTGAAAATGTAGTTTTTCCGTAGATGATATATTTTGTTTGGCAGCTATGGCATGTAAATTTGACTGATTTGTGAAGAGGAAAGGTTTTGTGAAGTGGATACCTGGGATATGTAGTATGAAATAAAGACGGAGATTTAGGTATTTTAAGGTTCGCAATAAACAAACAGCATGATGCTTAATTTTGACTATATAGATTGGCAAAGGTTGCGATATTCGAGCTTTGGCCTTCCCTTGAATTGTCGAAGGACATTTTAATATCTAAGTTTTATTTGGTTTCTTGGGGATGGCATGAGAAATTATTTGGTTTGCTTTTGGTTTACTGAGCAAGGAAAGCTTCTTTTCGGCTATCTGATGCCCTTGTGGAAAATTCTTATTAACTAGTATTCTGCTTGCAATTCCAAGATTTCTGGGTCTAACTGGTTTTCAAAGGATGCTGAGAAATTAAGAATTTCTTTTCCATGTATGTGTTTTCTGCTGTATTTACTTATTGGGTTCTTCAACTCATTGTGGATAGAGGAGTAATTGTTCATAACTCTTGAGAGGATTTATAATTGTGGAAATGCATTATCTCTGGTGCAGACGAAGAGGACAAAGAAGGCTGGAATTGTTGGAAAGTATGGTGAGTTTAGCTCCTGTCCTCTGCAATTATCTAATCTTGTGATTTCTCACAGTGGATTGTGGTTTTTTAAGTTTGCATTTTCATGTGGATGATAATAGACTTATACGGTGTCATATAGCGTGTAATGAATGAGGGTATAAATGGCATGCTGCAAGAGTAGTCTCACTTGTTTGATGAGAAGACCGTGCATCTAACTTCGAAATTTGGTAATTAGGAACATGTTGACGAGATATAGCCAGTGTAATTTTTAATATAATCAATATATCAATTTATGCTGTTCAAAATGGTCAGTAGATTCTTTTTCTATTCGATGAATATGGTGGCTTGAGGTTCCATTAATCATTTACAGTTATTTTCTTAAGTTGCTTTGATTCTGTGTTTTTGAACTGATGTTCATTCTGGTTGTAGTTGACCGTTGCATTTGGATACAACTTTAGCTCTGTTACGATAGCCTGTGTTTGTGTGCTGAATTTATAGGTGCAGGTTCGAGTTTAAATTTTATGTAATTGCTGACAGATTTTTAATATTCAGGTACACGCTATGGTGCCAGTCTGCGGAAGCAGATTAAGAAGATGGAGGTTAGCCAGCATAGCAAATACTTGTGTGAATTTTGTGGAAAGGTTTGGCTTTTCTTGTTGATACGTGTTGATTAATTTGGAAGACAGTTTGGCTATCAAAATATGAAGTTTGTTCTATAGGATGCGGTTTAGTTCTAATGAAACGTTGATGATCACGCAGTATGCTGTGAAGAGAAAGGCGGTTGGAATCTGGGGCTGCAAAGATTGTGGCAAAGTTAAAGCAGGAGGAGCATACACATTGAAGTAAATTCACTGAAACTGACACGTTTACATTTTTCTTTTTCCTCTTGGCAATTAACTAATGATGTTTTCTTTGTTTTTCCTTCCTTTGCTGTGCAATAGTACTGCAAGTGCTGTGACAGTCAGGAGCACAATTCGGAGGCTGAGGGAGCAAACTGAGAGTTGAGCTTGAGTCAGATTTTCTTATGCTGATTGTAGTACTGGACAGCTGTGTCTTAAATTAGATCTTTTCCCTGTTTTGCTGAATATGTTGCTGTAAAAACAGCTGGTTAGTTGTCAACCAACTGTTGGAGCTAGATTTTGTTAGACAAAATTTCTGTTATGTTACTATTAATCGATGTTTGAATTACTATGGTGCAATTAAATGGTTTCACGAGATGGCTTTTGGAATTCTTATTTTCACCTTTGTGATGTGTAGTGTAGCTGGACTGCTGACAAAACTACCGCCTGAAAGCAAGCTCCAATGTGAAGCAAATCTTTGATTTAAACCCATAACCATAAAGCACAGTGCTATTCTGCTAAACTAGGCCTGTCTTGAAGCTCAGATTATGGATGTCAAATAGCAGAACTGCCCTTAAAGCTGTGAAGTCCTGAACCGGGGGTTCAATTTTGTTGCTAAATTTCACACTTGTTCAAAGTTATCGGTTTTTAAATCCGGAAATGCTTGCGTAGGGAGAAGGTGCGCTTTTTGGCAGTGTCGAAGGTGCCCGATTATGCTGCGGTTGCTATGATGCTACTTTTCTGCTTTACTATTAAGTATTAATAGCACTATCCAACGCGAAGCAAAAGCAACCGGTCTACTTTTTTTTAGGGTTAATTTCACTTTGACCCCTCAAATTATGCCCTTATTTTCACTTAAGTCCCTAAACTTCAAAATGGGACACTTAAGTTCCTAAACAAAAAATTCGTCTCAGTAAGGAAATATTTTGACGGAATCTAGGGTGCCGTAAGTTTTCCTAGAGCGTGCAAACACGCTCTGTTAACCGAAGGGCATAGATGGAATTTTCTTGTTAAAAGGAAAATAAAATTGGCCAAGAGAGGGAAAGTTTCCCGCTATTTGACTAATACCCGCGGGTCCTTACATGACCTGCTCCAAATCCAAATCATAAAAAAGGGTCGGATGTGCCCTAATCAAAATGAGAACAAAGTGGGACTCCTCAAACGGGTTGGGGAAGAACGAAGACAGAAGAAAAAGAAGCAGGCTACAGCAAAATAGGAGGGATGGTAAAGGAAACTTGTAATTGCGGAAAACAAACACTACTGATGACATCATGGACACACACAAACCCAGGAAGAAGATTTGTTCGATGTCCTCAGTATAAGGTAATGAACAAGAAGTTTTTATAATTAGGCTTAATGTTGGTATTTAGGTGTTTTTGTGATTTGTTCGATGATATTGTGGTATGTAAATAGGAATTGGGAGGCTATAAATATTGGGACTAGGTTGATCCAGAAATGTGTCAAAGATCTAAGGAAATAATACCAAGACTATTACGGTCCAAGAACAAGATTGCAGCTGAGGTCGAGATGTGGAAGGAGATGGCCAAGGTATAGCAAGGAAATGCGAGGAGGTTAAAGATGTACCTGATGCTTCATTGGGGTGTCATTCTCCTGTGGCTCTTTTTCTTCAAATCTGGGGCAAAAGGTGAAAATGAAGTTGGAGAAGAAACTGGCCTATGATGTGGGAAATTATTATTTTTGCCTAATGCTGGGATCAAAGGTCATTCGGGGGATGGTTATCCAAGTTTCCTTAGTTGTAGGTTTTCGGAATAGGCTGTGTAGTGAACTATGTAATATAAGCTGGTTCTAGTGTTGATACTGCAATACTGCAATGGATGAGTGTTTTTGCTAGTTATGTATGTAATTTGCAGTATCAACTATTATTTTCGAATGTAATGCATTATTAGTGGAGCCTAAGTGTACCCTTGTAGTTTAGGGACTTAAGTGTATTTAAGAAAATATAATATAAGGATTTAAATGATGCTTTTATATGTGTAAAATAATTGAAGTATCTCATCATTTACATCATTTATATAGAATAGTTCCTCTAAATTGTTCCCTGTTATCCAGTTCATTATAACTTGGTACCAACCACAGCATTTCGTAGAGAAAAAGGCAAGCTTAGCCTTACACAGATAACAAAGAGTGCTGTAACATTATCAGGGACCACTCTTCTGAGTTGCATCCGTCTATATAGTCCACCTGCCCTCCTAAGTATTGTATATTGGGAGGATCTGTGAAGTCACCTTGATGGTGTATTTCCAAAGTGAATGGTTGACCCAAAATTGCTTCATTACCACCATCTATTATTAAAAAAAAAAGAATTTTTTAATCAAAAAATTAAATTTAAAAATAGGCCAGTAGTACGTTCAGGACCCCAATGTCTTCAATGGGGGAGCATTAGGATTCCAACGAAGAAGCATTTTGGTTCCAACATCACAAATTTCCAGACCATTTTCGAAATAAAAAATTTTCAAGTAAGTATATTGCATATTTAAATATTTTCACAAACCCTAATATTTTACTAATCCCCCACTTCATCAGCCTATTTATCATTTTTCTATGTCAATACAAATCCCGATCCATCAACATATTCCAATTGCACACCACCCCCTAATAGTATTAAAGTGAAATTTTGAAGGTTCTTACCAGTTTCCATCTTCACATTCCCTTTCTTTGCCTTTACTGGAGATGCCTTTCGATGCCCTTTCTTCCTTCCCATATCACCAGCTATGAATCCCGATCAATGGTGGATTGCTGTTTTTCTTTTTTATTTTTGGCTAATGCTACTGTTCTGCTCGTCCCTTTTCGAATGGAGGCAACAATGGGGAACAATTTCTTCAGACAACATCTAAAATATTTACAGGTGAATTTACATTCATGTCCTCGCTTTTTCCTTCACACAACTGACACAACCTTCAGTTAATAGAGCGTGTTTGCACGCTCTAGGAAAACTTACGGCACCCTAGATTCCGTCAAAATATTTCCTTAAGTGAGACGAATTTTTTGTTTAGGGCCTTAAGTGTCCCATTTTAAAGTTTAGAGACTTAAGTGGGAATAAGGACATAGTTTGAGGGGTCAAAGTGGAATTAACCCTTTTTTTAATCATATGAGCACAATATTTTTGGTTTTAGTACTAGTTTTTTTTATGATGATGGAATTGGAATGAGAATTGTGGCTAATTAGTAATTTTAATATTAGTTTTTTTTGTATATTGCAGTGTTTTATTTTTTAATTGCCAACTATTAATTCATAACCACTATCATTATTTTCAATTATTGGAATGCGCTAAATCTATCTAATTACAATTGTCAGCATAAATGAAATTTACTTAATTTTAAAGCTTTTCATTTCACTTTCATTATTCACTAATATTGCAATACAATAAATATATGTAATCATTAGAAAAATAAGGGTATTTTGGACATCATCAAAAATAATTTGGATGTCATTTTCATTTTATCATTTTTTATTTTAAATTTACTCTTATTATAATTTTTATTTTATCATTAAAAATGGCTTATGACTTGATAGATGGATTTGGTTTACTCAAACCAATACAAACGAAGCATTACTATATTATAGTCAATAACAATGTTTGTCTTCCCCTAGATATCAGTGATTTGGATGATGTTTTTGATATTATTTGAATTGTATTCTAACTTTTTAATTCATTTGTTATTTATTTTATGTCACTTTATAAATAGTTTTTATTTTTTTTTTTAGTTTTTTCTTGTTTCGATCGGTTGCTATTAATGATAATAGTGGTTTGTATGATGTTATTTCAAATTTCTTTTTTCTAGTTTAATACTACTATTTTTATAAAGGTGTCATCATTTTTTGTATATTGAAATTTCATTGAATGTAACATGAAAATTTTTTCATATTAGTAAAAAGTGCATAATTGTAAAATTTACTCTTGATATTTGTATGAAGATATACAAATAAATAAGGGTTCTCCTATCCTTGTATGTTTCTTCATTTTCTAGAGAGTATATATTTTTTAAAATTTATTTTTTTCTTTTTACAATCTCAACTAATGACTAATAAGAAATTTTTCATGCTTTAATTAAGATATTTTGATACGTATAATAATTGGAGATGGAGTCCAAGGGTAGGTAAATAGTTGTTAATGAACAATTTTAATTATAATTATCAATACTATTAAAATGTAATCAATTAGAGTATTTTATTTCCTTTAATTAGTGTCATATCAAAATGTAATAATTCTAATTAAAAGACAAAAAGGTAATTTAAGAATAATAAAAATTAAAATAAAAAAGTGGTCCATAATGATTTTAGCTGGACATAATTTACGCAACTGAAATTATCCTCAATGTGAATGAAAGCGGTGATTTTGCACGTAAATGAACTCCTCCATTTCGAACGTTGAGAATCGAAGGAAGTCTTGGAAAGAGAGATGCAGCTCCTTAAACAAAGGAGGAAGAATTGAAAACTTGAGTATGTGATCACGCGCATCGGATCAGTGGAAGGCAGGCGGAGATGCCATGCCCAATCCCAAAGAAATCAGTTAACGCTGTCCAGAGTTATAAACAAATCCCCTTATATCATTTCAATGATTATCTTCATCTCCTTGGCGATTGCATATCATCAAAATCATTAACACCAGGCAAACTAATCCATCAAAATCTCCTCAAAAACCCGAACTTTAACACCAAAAATAAATCTTGTATTACGTTACTGGATAAGCTTTCTAAGCTCTTTATTACATGCAGCAAACCAGAACTAGCTCATAAAACCTTCAACTCAATCCCAAGCCCAGAAAGGCAAAAGAAGGGAATTTTATGGAACCAATTGATTAGGTCCTACGCTTGGGAAGGACCCTTTGAGAACGCCATCCATTTGTACTATGAGATGGTGGATATTGGAGTCAAACCCACAAAATTTACATACCCTTTTGTCCTTAAAGCTTGTGCTGCATTGCAGGATATAGATAATGGTGTGAAGATTCATGATCATGTAAAAAGAGATGGGCTTGCCTCAGATGTTTATATTTCTACTGCTTTGGTTGATTTGTATGTTAAATGTGGGTGTTTGCTTGAGGCGAGACAGGTGTTTGATGAAATGCCTGAGAGAGATGTTGTTGCATGGAATGCAATGATTTCAGGGTTCTCGATTCATGGGATGTATGGGGATGTGATTCATTTAGTTTTGGAAATGCAAGAAGTGGGAGTGAGTCCTAATTCTTCGACTTTTGTGACCATTTTGCCAGTGATTGGGGAGGCGAATGAGGTGATTGCTGGAAAGGCTGTTCACGGGTTGTCGGTGAGGAGGGGAATTGATAGTGATGTCATGATGGGAACAGGGCTTTTGGATATGTATGGAAAATGTGGGTGGTTAGTTTATGCAAGGAGGATATTTCATGCAATGACTTTCAGAAATGAGGTGACCTGGAGTGCGATGATTGGAGCTTGTATTGCTTGTGATTGCACTCAAGAGGGGCTGGAATTGTTTGAGCAAATGAGGGTGGAGGATGTTGGAAGTCTTTCACCTGTAACACTTGCAACTGTTATCCGAGGTACGGCTAAGCTGATTGATCTGAAGGTAGGAAAACAGATACATGGTTACACTGTTAAGTTAGGGTCCAATTTGGTTTTGATGGTTGCTAATACACTTCTTTCAATGTATGCAAAATGTGGTATTCTGGATGATGCAACAAAGTTCTTTGAGGAAATGAGTTTCAAGGACTCTGTTTCTTATAGTGCTCTTATCTCTGGATGTATTCAAAATGGAAGTGCAGAGGAGGCTTTGCAAATTTTCCGTGCAATGCAGTTGTCTGCAGTTGAGCCAATATTAGCAACCATGATGGGACTCTTGCCAGCTTGTTCACATGTGGCAGCTCTACGACATGGGTATTCTTGTCATGCTTATTCTATAGTGCGTGGATTCACTGCAGATGTGTCGCTTTGTAATGCTTTAATTGACATGTATTCCAAGTGTGGTAAGATTGATGTGGCCAGAGTTGTTTTTGATAAGATGCATAAGAAGGATTTAGTCTCTTGGAATGCAATGATCATTGGTTATGGAATTCATGGACTTGGAGTCGAAGCTATTTCAGTGTTCCAGAATATGCAGGTTGTCAGACAAAATCCAGATGAAGTAACTTTTATTGGTCTTTTATCTGCTTGCAGTCACTCAGGACTCGTTGCTGAAGGAAAGCATTGGTTTCAATCCATGAGTCAGGAATTCAGCATCAAACCAAGGATAGATCACTATTTGTGCATTGTAGATCTTTTGGGTCGTAATGGACTTTTGGATGAGGCCTTCAATTTCATCCAGGGGATGCCATTGAAACCTGATGTGCGTATCTGGAATGCGTTGCTTTCTGCTTGTCGGGTCTATAAGAAAATCGAACTGGTAGAAGAAATATCAAATAAAATTCAGAGCCTAGGGCCTGAAAGTACAGGCAATTTTGTTCTCTTATCAAACATTTACAGCACAGTTGGGAGATGGGATGATGCTGCTGACGTTAGAGTTATGCAGAAGGGGTTGGGTTTCAGAAAGAGCCCAGGAAGTAGTTGGATTGAAGTAAATGGGGTTATCCATGCATTTGTTGGTGGAGACCGATCTCATTCACAATCAGCCAAAATAAATGAGAAATTGCTGCAATTACAAGCAGAAATGAAAAAGTTGGGCTATATGGCAGAACCTGATTTTGTTTATCAAGATGTTGAAGACGAAGAGAAGGAACACATCCTTCTTTATCATAGTGAAAAGCTTGCTGTTGCATTTGGATTGCTAAATCTGGATGAGGAAAAAGCCATTTTTGTCACAAAGAATTTGCGGGTTTGTGGTGATTGCCACACTGCACTTAAATTTATGACTCTTATCACAAGGAGGCGAATAATTTTGAGGGATACGGTTCGCTTTCACCATTTTTCGGAAGGTGGATGCAGCTGTGGAGATTTCTGGTGAAAAAAAATAAATGAACACATAATGAAGGTTGGCAGTGCCATGAACCAGAGTCTCTCAGTCTCTCTCTCCCAAGCTAAGCTCGGAAATCCAGGGCCTCAAGCTAGGTACTCCAAACACTTCCTGTTGATCTTTTATATCCATATGACGTTGACTGATTTCTAGAAGCTTAAGAATGCTTCAACCGTGACATAGGTTTTATTTTTAGTCTTTTCACACGCGCTTAGTTACATGGTAATTCTGTTCTAGTCCTGCAATATGTATATATGTTGAGTCTGAAGGATAGCCTTGTCATTAGCCTGAACGATCGGAGTTATGCTGGCACTCGACATACCTGGTAGTAGTTTTCAGGAATGTGATGCGTAACAGATCCCTCTGACGTCTCTCTTTCTCCTGGACAGACTTGTTGTAGTTAACAGAGTGCTTGCTATTGGCACCTATAGTCTGGTCAATGGCTAATATAGATTACATCTTTGTTTAACAGAATAATTTTGCAAACTCCAAATACCATTTAAAAATAGCTCTAAAACCTCTCAGCCATATCCATCTCTACATTAAAAAATAAATAAAAATCTCTCAACCCTATCCAGGTGTTCAAAAAAAAAAAAAAAAATCTTGTTATCTTCAGCCGTTTTGAGACAATATTTGACAGTTTTCTTGTCTTTTACACCGAAGTTTCTTGTGTTCTTTGTAACACATACATTGCAAAGAAGCACCAACCTCAAAATTTCATAAGCTTATTCAAGTTGTGTCAATCCATGCCAATTATGGATGGGGGCGCCAGCTTGAAACATGAAATAGTTCTGTAGTTGCCTTTGCCTTTGCAGTACTATGTTGTATTTTTCCGTAACAAGTACCAACCATGCCCTACAAGAGAAAACGTATCAACGGCTTTTAAGTGACTTGAGACTTTAAAAATTAGAGATTTTGGATTCTAATTCTCCTTCTCTCCGCCCACTTCTTAAATTCCGTTCCTCTCCTACTAGGAAAAAAAACATAAAAATGCTTCAGAGTTTCAGCACAACGTTCATATTTTCACTTCTTGGTTGTCTACAAATTGTTTATTTACTAGATGGCTCGGTGGTGTAGCTCCATTCATCACGAATCCAAGGAACACAAAATCGAACACGATCCAATTTCTAGTATCTTGCTTCACCTTTTGTTCTTACTTTCTGTTAGTGATCAATTTGCATTAACAAGCAAAAGCGTAAATACTGCATTCACAAAGGCAGTGCTACATTGTGTAACACTGAGCATTTCTTTTACAGACATCGGACAAGCTCTGAAAAACCATCTAAATCCCCAACACACTGGGGTTCCTGCACATACATGTAATTACATTTACGGTAAGTGGACCAGAAAAAAAATCCTATTACTGAAAAGGGCACTTCAGTGCTCCACACATTGAGTGCTCTTATTATGTACATTTGGTAAAAACTTCAGTAAGTGAAGCATCCCTCTTGCTCCACGATCAGTCTTTTGCTTGAACTGACGGTGGTTCCAAGCAGGTATACTTCATAGTTTCTTCACCTCTAGCAGATTCAAAACTTAGAAAGGTAAAATTTGATGACGAGAAGGGAAGAGAAACAAGAAAATCCACATTACATGAGCATTTCCCTTTGCTGTTCTGATGGAAAAGCAACTTCCAGCCAGCCCTTGACAATTTCTGTGCTATTGAGACTCACAAACTGGTTTTGGAACATTGACATTGTTGTTGTTCTGGGGCATCTGATTTTGGACAGCTTTCACAGCGGCAACTCTTGCTGCGTTGGCTGCTTTGTTTGCAGCTGCTACAGCTCTCTTCACTCTTTCCTCTGTATTTGGCAGCTCAGCTGCCTTTTCTGCAGCTCTTCGTGCTTCCTGCAAGTTATAGTAAATCGATTTCCTTCTTATGCAGAACTAACACACACCTATAAAAGCAAGGGTAGAAGAGCAGCTGATCCTAGAAGCTAAACTATTCTGGCAGCAACTTAATGGAGCACCTAGCCTTTTCACGAATAAAAACTATCAGGAGAAAACAAACAGTTAAACAAGTTGTGCAGGCTACTCAAATAAATTTGATAGAGAACTGTACAACAATTTCATAAATATCTCTTTTCACTATACTGCTATTTGAAAACATTTTTATTCATATTCCATGAATTAAAAGTAAAACCATTTTATTTCATTTTGAAAAATCAAAGTAAAAAGGATAGAAAAGGGAAACATGCTTTAATTACCTGAACAGCATGAAGGACTTTTGAGTTGTCAAGTGCAACGGAAGATCCACTAAGGATGCCTTGAATGCTTGAAGCATTAAGAATCCCATTTTCCCAGTGGCCAGACTGTGTTTCTCCATTTCTGAAGGTATATGTACCAAAACCTTGCCTTCTTCCCTCGTGCCAGGCTCCCTCATAACGGTGGCCATTTGCAAAGTTATAGACCCCAAAACCATGCATCTTGTCTGCAAAATATTCTCCTGCATATGTATCCCCATTTCTGCATGGTGATAAACAACAAAGGAAAAAGCTCAGGCAAAAGAAGTTGCAATGATCATATTTCAAAGAATAAGCAGAGCTTCATATCAATATTCTACTGACATCCTATCATCAATACAAGAAAGAAAGGTGATAATATGCTTCACCTTCATACAAATTCTTTTCCTTAAGATAAACAAATTGAAACAAAAAGCAGTCTGATGGAATTAAGTTCAAAGCCACTCCTTGCTCCTTGGAGTCGAGAAAGTAGAAGCATGGTAATCAAAGCAAATTGAGTGTACTGTACTTTCTTAAGTTTAGGAACTGTCAGTTTCTCTTTTTGCAATCTCTGGTCCCATAATACATTAATAAGTTTTGACAGAAGTTCAATGCTCTACTCTGCCCAATCAACTCAACTAGCAAGCTTTCTCTCCAGCTGTATATCTCTAACCCACTTGATCTTTCAAATTTTCAGCTTTTCAATTTAGTTTCTAGTTGTAGTTTCAATTGCTGCAGTAGACCACTTAACAAAGACAGATTGCTAAGCCTCACGATTTCCTTTCAAGTTATGGGAGGATATGCTACAACCTTTAGCATAACATGAAATCAAAACAAAACTATCAGTTAGTCCTTGCATCCCACAAAGATGGTTTAAAGTTGACTTTCATGCATTAGTATTAGAAGTTTTCCTTCTAAGAAAAACTCATTATGCCTAAGCAATAAAGGTATAGAACATAACTTCTTCAACCAAAGAAATTGAAAATTTTAAACCAATGAATTTAATGAAAAGGGTCACCCACTAAACTCTCAATTTGATCAACATCTGCTCTTTATTATTTCAAACTTGTTCATAGTACTTAATAATTACTATCCATTGGGCTTTAAGAACTGTTTGCCAAGTCCAAGATCCAAAAGTAAAATAGGCAGAATAATATTTCCATTCAAGAAATAATACAGTTTGAGTAGAAACCATTTGCATGAGATAAAAAGCAGACGTGGACAGGAAACTTCAGTAAAATGATACACTATTTTCTAATGATTAAAAGCCTCTTCAATCATGAGAGCCAACTAAGAATTAATCTTAATGTCCTGGCTTTAATTGCAGGTTGACACTAAGTAGATGCTAAGATTGTGGGACAACAAAGTCATTGATATATGGAGAGCTACAAGATCCAAAGACAATCCAAATATGCACAGAGTTCCTGTATGAATGGGCAGTTCACATCAGTCAAAACTTTAACTACCAGTGTTGCATGTTAGTGGCATGACTAATGAAGCATAGTTCTCAAATGGACTTCAAGCAATGACTCTAGGTTTAGAGTGTCTAGGAAAATCCTAACTGTTTTATGCACTCAAATCACACTCCTTTTTGGAAAAAGTGATCCATCACTTTCACTCACATGAAGAGATACCAATAACCATGGTATCCTAACTTCATCTTTGGACAAAATAAAAGGAATTACAGAATTATTCTTGCACCTAAAGTCATAGTTAAAGACAGCTTAATCGTCCAATTCCTTTAGAAAATAGAGATGTGCACTATTCCCAGCATAAGCCACAACGCACATCCACATTAAAGCCACAACAAGATAAAACAAGAGTTTGCACTATTTTGCCTGAGACAACTGAGAATGACCTGAAAATTCAAGCATTCAATGCATCAATAGGTGCTCAAGATTCCTCCATATAGATCTAAGAACGGCAAATGAGTCCAACCCCAAAGAAGTAGCTACTGTATTACGAAGCCCAAACATCACCCCAAATGACAATATAAAAATGGTTCAGATTAGATATCCATGGACATAAGTTCAAGAACACAGTACTAGGATTTAAAAATCGAAGTACAAAAGTTTACCTAAAATGGTAACGGCCAAGCCCATGTTTAACCCCCCATTTGAATTCTCCAATATAACTGCTTCCATCCTCGCAAGTAAGGAATCCACATCCATGACACTGCCCATTACACCACTCCCCAGAATACACATCGCCTGTATAAGACCTGTACAACCCAACTCCATGTCTCAATCCCTGCCTATACTGCCCGCGATAGCGACTCCCTTTTGCCCATGTTTCAACACCATAGCCATCATACTTCTCATCGACCCAATCACCTTCATACCTCCCACTCAAATGGTAATAATAAACCCCACTTCCAGAGCATTTCCCCTTATGAAACTCCCCCTCATAAACATCCCCATTGCTATACACCTGCACCCAAGACCCTGAATTCTGCCTCTTTTCAGATTTAGGTTTGCTCCCAATAGACCAAACAACTGGTGGACTGTGATGATGCTTTGGTGGAGGGGCTAATGATTTGAGCTTAATACACAAAGTTTTCTCAAGAAACAATCTAACTGAGGGAAATCTAGGAAGGGCTAAATTGAGCGAAACTACAATAAAAGCAGAGAAAGCAAGAAGATAAAGAAAGTGAAGCAGGAAAGGCCAGTGATGAGTTGAGGTGAAAAAATAAACACCAGGCAAGGAAAGCAGGATAAAAACCTTTAAGTGGACTCTGAACCATGAGGCATGACAAGAATGGTGAATAAATCGGAGAGTGATTCTTTTTGTTGCCAAAAGTACATGAAACGAAGGAGAACAAAGGTAAGATTGGTGGTTCGAAGAATCAGACTTCAACACGGCCAATTTCTTGTTAAAATGGTGAGGCTGCAGCGGCAAGGGTGCCTGAACAGGAACATCATCTTGATTGACATTGTGATGAAGAGCAGAAAGAGTTGGAGAACGAGAAAGACTGGAGCTTTGGGACATCATAGGCCTCTTATGGGGCGAAGAAAAAAGGGATTTGTTCTTTGAGGAATTTTGACAAATGGGTTCATGGTAATTTGAGAAATTTGAAGAAAAAGGTGGGATCTTGATATGAAGATGACTGGGCTTCTGTTGGGTTGGTGAGTGTTGGGTGGCAGATGGTAATGGTGGCAGTGGTGGAGGAGTTGACTGGCTCTGTGATTGATGAGATTGGTGAAGAAGATGAGTTGGGACGGTGATATTCAAATCGGAAGAGAGGCCTTTATTGGTGTCTTTTCCGATCTGAAGTTCGAATTTTTTCTGATGCATTAAAGCCTATACAACACCTGAAAAATGTGTACTACTACTACTCTACTGGTCTGTTTTTATCCTTCTTTTCCTTACGATTCTTCTTTATATTTTGTGTGTTTTTTTGTATGATGAGCAAAGTTTCTGTGGATTTTCTGTGCTGTTTCTTTAATCTCTTCAACTTGGGTGAGTCCGTGACTGTGTGTGTTTTTGGCCGTGGGTCTGGTGGTTTGAGTAGTTCTTCTAGGCTCAGGGGGAAGCGATGATGTCTGGACTCTGGACGTTTGCAGGGACAAAACCAAGTGGACCTGAATAAGTGGTGGGGTGGGGTGGGGTTAAAGGAACTGAATTTGAGATTTGGATAATAAAAGTAATTAAGTACCTCGCCTTTGTTTAAAGACCCTTGGTTTTCATCAAATTTACCAACTAATTGAGGTTGTTTGGAAAGCAATTTTCCAAAGAAAATTTGCTAAGTTTTCCTCCATGAATACATTTTCCAATCACATTTTAAGATAATTATACATTTTTTTTATTGAAGCAAGTTTTCTTTATAGATAAGAAATCCACGTCTTATCTTAATCATGTTACTAAAAGTGATGAATTTTCTACTTGTGCATTTTCGACAAGTTCATAAAAACTCGAAATCTTTTATTACACATATAATCACGACATTCTATTTCCACTATTTGTAATTATTGTCAAGCATACAATATGGCAGTATTTCATCTAAAAATACACTCATTCTTTGAAATCATATAAACTGCATCATGTTCATAATTCTTACACCAAATTATTGTGTCAAAATTCCCATAATTTTACAGTTTTTGAGAATAAAGCATTTGTGCAATTGCAATAAAATGTCAATTTGCATACTTCAAAAGAATGAAATTCTGCATCATTTCATAACTCGAGCATTTTACAAAAGAAATTGCAAACTTACAATTATAGAGATATTAGTGTAAATTTGAGTGACTTGAGGGGCAAATAATGGAATATAGTAGTGTGCTTTATTTGACTCCAAGTTTCCGCATAGCTTAGCTGCTTTTGAGATTTAATTGGTCGCTTCGCTGGGTTCACTTGCGCCACACAAAACAAACGCAAAGACCCGTTCAAAAAAGGATGCTCTGTGGATCAACGGCCCGCCATCAACATGGTCTTCTGCCTTTTGGGCAAGTATTTTTCCGAAAACACCCTTTGACAATTTTTCATTTTTGAATTCAGTATAGCAAACCCAAACCCCCCCCCCTCCAAACAAACAAAAATACATTACGAGGAAGAATAATACTTCTTTTGTTCTAAAATATCTAGAGAATACAATAATGCATTTATCTGATTTGGACGTTTGCCTTCGACCTCCATACAAGTTCAGTTGAATTCCATCTTTTCTGTAATGTAAGAGTAAAGTAGATTGTTGCCGTTGCTGAAAAATTCAGTATAGCGAATAATACTAAAAACAAAGACGAGAGTAAGATCCTAATCTTCAAGTACTTATCAATTAAGCATGTAATAGGGATTGATCCATGAAAATGACTTATATTTTCTTTTTTTAATAAATAATAATATCAAAATTCATTTCATCAAACTACTGCGATGGCCGTGCACAAGACAAGACAAGACAGATACTACAAAATGATGGAGACTAAGACCGTCTATACAATTAGGAACAAAGAATGTTTAATTAGCTATTTTCTTTTTGCAATTATAGACTGAAATACACATTTTATTTGTTTACAAAGGTGTCTAATCCAATATGGATAATGACCTGAGATTTGCCTATATATGTTGCCATTACACCTTGCTTCTCTCCTAAATTTGACCTTTCAAGCATCCCTTTTAAAATTTTAACTTACAATTTTTTCCCTTTTATTTTATGAGCAGTTGAGTACTGGTAACTGATATGTGAAAATTTTCCGAGTGGCATTCATCAAACTGAGGAGAGTTTTTGGTATTGATGTTTCAAGTTTGCTGCTGCTCAAATTCTTTGTAAGAGTTCCAATCAAGATTTCTTTCTTTTCTTTGAGGGAAAAAAATTGAAGGATAATTTAAGCCACAACAATTACAATTGCAAAGGTGGGCTTTCTTTCTTCACAAAATTTTTAGTGTTTTTGGTAGAATCACATAATTTTCAATATCAGTAGAGGTGATGGCATCCATGGAGAACACAAGGAGGAAAATTGTTTCTTTTGCTCTTTTGGCAGTCAAGTTCCTTTCTAAAGAGTGACAAATATCAGATTAGGTTGGATGTTGTCTTCCCACAATTAAGTGTATCAAGTGTCAAATTCGGTAGATATTATCTTCCCAAATTCAGCAAAATCATCTGTAGCCATGAAAAGGAGTTGTAATATTTTTTATAAACAAATAGGGAAGATCATTTTACTTTTATAATCCAACTTAATACATATTTTGCATACACAAAAATAGAAATAGTTCCAAAACCTTAATGATGACATCGTTATCATTGTTGTAAACTTAGTGACCTTTCATGGTAACTAGTCACATGCCTTCCTCCACATCCACATCTCAATGCTAATTCAAGAACTGCATACTTGTAGGACCACAAGACAAGATTAGATGATTTGGTACATTTAATCTTTAAGAGATTTTAATGTTGATTGTTCTTTCCTTACAGTTGAAGCATGTCTGCGTCATTATTATGGCTCAGTCAGCTGATTATTCTCCTTTGACAAATAGTAGAGGTCGCTAATTCCAACACTTTGACAAGACTAAAAAATAATTGACTCCACAAGCCAAGATTATGTTTGCTGTGTTTGCACATTGATTACCATAATTAAGTGGTTCTACTAATATAGAAAAAGGGGTCCAAACCCACAAAAAAAAGTATACAGTTTTGGTTCTTTCCCAGTTGTAGCTACTAGGATGTTACCACCAGGGTTGCATGAATTCTGTAACTTTCAAGATGCAAAGGGGATGCTTTGATCATATTCTGGGAGGCAGACAATTGTTTACGGAACTGCTACTTATTCCAGAAGCAGAAAAAAGACGACTGCCCCCAACCCCACCAACGAAGGAAAAGAAAAAAATAACCATTCAAGTTGGAATACCTTTTTTCCTTTGGATCATTGAACCAAAGCCCTGGAAAAGGACTATTGAGCTTTCTTTTCTTACATTGAATCAAACCTGAAGGATACCGATGAAAGGTCACATAGAGGTCACAGTACAGTTTGTTCTGTAGCCAAATATGCTGTTCCAGTTCACATCAACAGTTCTGATCAAGCAACATATACGCCGGTGAATATGGTGAAGGAAAATGCACATGAGATGCAAATTTGGATCCCAAGAATTTTTGGAGCCTTCATTGTCTTGCACAAGAGTACAAACCCATGCCTGATACGATAGACAGCAGCAAATGTCATTAGAAAACAAGGAATTGGACCTATCTATTGGTAACATGTTCTATTCAGAGTTTGTCATCCTTGGAGCCCATAATATCACACGATTTTCCACCCTCATCCAGGTTATCTTGTGGGAAGAAGAAAGAAAAAATAAAGCAGCAGAATAGGGTACTTCACTGGCTACTTATTGTTATTGTATAAATGTGGCTACGGGTCAAATGAACATAGCTTTCTTTTTTTCTCCTGTCGATTTTTCTGCAATTTGGTAAGGGGTTTGAGCAAATCATAAATGAGTCGGCTAGCCATGACACTGGAGAAGATTCATGAGATTATGATTGACGTTCAGAACAGATGGCTGAGTAGTGTTTTAAGCAACAGTAAAAAATGCAGCGTAAGCATAATGCAGGGGAAATTTTTTTGAAACCTAAATTGTATCAAAATTA